TTCATATATATATATATGNTTTCCTCTGATACACAGGAAATTTGACTTCTTAAATCATTTTTCGCTGTTATTTCGATAAGTTCCTTGTACTATTTTAGCACGTTTGAATCCTAATCGATTCTTTTGAGAGAGAAGAAACAAGGTTAGGTTAGTCGCCTAAGATATACAGTTTATCTCAAAAATAAAATAAGATCTATCTTCTTTTGAAAAAAGATGATGACGCTGTCAATTATAGGCATTCAATATTTGTTGAAAAACTTATAAATTTCGCACTATTATAAAGGAAAAGATCCTTTTCAATTCGAGGATTGCAAACCGGCTATCAATATCATACAAAAAATAGCTTTTCGGCTGCTATTAAGTGTAATTTCATCAGTGTCGCATACTTCAATAGGCGCTTAAGCAGTTAAGTTTACAAGAATGCTTTTGACTATTTCGGACAAAGAGTTTGATAAGCAAACATTAATAATCCGTATAAATTTTTGAAGTTATAAACATTTTTCAAATCAGTTTAAAACTAAAAGAAAACAGAGTCCGTAATTGTGAAATAGTCAAAATCATTCATTAATGAATTATTATTTGTTTTAATGGCCATTTCACCATTATTTATTTGAAAAGATGCATTTTAATGGTCGAAATGGTCCAGCTACAAGTAACAAGGCATTTTAATGACCATTTCTTCATTATTCACTTGACTGGGTATCTTCCCACATCCTAATTTTAAGCAAATAAAATCGCCTATTTACTCGCACGAAAACTGTGTAGCTCTTTTGATTTTGCAGGAAAATTTTCTTACTTGTTGTCAAATTTTCATCTGAATGGCAGACTGTTTTTACACAATTTTTCGATGTTTTTTAGCAGTGACTGGCTTTTAGAATGATTTCTTATACAATATTGGAAACGAAAGACGTATCATTATCTGCTCCTTCGATTGGTCAAAATGTTAAATAGATTGTGGTAAAACATCGATTAGGGAGTTAATAATTGTAAATCCATAATGTCGATAGAAATTCATTTCAGACAAAGATCTTAGTCAAATCGTTTGTACTTTATTTTCATTCTAAACTTCTAATATAACACTTTGATTTACTGATCGTTCTTTGAACTGATTATTATTATTTTACTTAAATCAATGATTAATTCATGTTGATATTGTCGTCATATAACAAAATTTGATATATTCTTTTCAATTATTTTACTCTGATATACTCTTTGATAATGTCATGTCATCCTTACCTACAGTATAGATTTATACTGGGCATTAGCTATTTCGAGAAAGAGCATCGCAATACAATGCGCTATAAAATAGCAATCTCTTTCAATCGTGTATATTGTTGAATCATCATACAAATCCACTAGTGTTTTCAAAGTTTAGAAATAATTATTTTGGAAAGCAATAATTTAACTATTTCTTTTGTTGGTTTTTCTACTACAAGTTTATAAGATTTTTTTCTAGTGGTGTTTATGTAGACAAAAGTTGTTTGATTCTAATCGATCATATGAAAAAAAGAGAAGTCAATCTTGATTTGAAATAGTTTACATCAGTAAAGAAGAAATGAAAACAAAGACACAAATATTCTATTCTGTATATTCATATCAGAAAACAACGTCATAAAACAAGTAAGAAATTATACCAGTAAAGAGTATACTTTAATTTGCTGCAATAATAAATAATTTCAGTTAGATTTCACAAAGAGCGAAGTTCAATATAATTTTCATTTTTTTTTCTCAACGTTCAATTCAGCCTTGAAACAACATTTTGTAGATGGAATGTTTTGAAAGAGTGAATAAAAGAAAATTTACTCATAGTTTATAAACATACATGAAGGGTGTGGGTATGGTTGTGGGTGTGGGTGTGGTTGTCTTTCCTTTATTCACACTAACACCTGCACCCACACCCACCCACCCATTAGCGTCTCGTATGGCATCATCTGACGAAATAACTTCATGCAATATTTTAGTTTGTCGACCACATGATTTAGTGTGCTAAGCTTGATCGTTAGTTATGGATAGTTAGAAAATATTGCTGCATAGATTCTTAATTCCAGAGAAGTGTACCAGAAACTCAATACTAACAAGTGTAGTTTACACAGTTAGACGTTATCTTTGAAATTGACGTTGCAAATGTGATTGTCTAACGCTGCTATATGCAAAGAACACGTGTCAATGTGCATAAAGAAATCTTATCATTTTTTTTTCTCTCCAATCTGACAAACAATGAAGTCCTTGTTACAAGAATAATATCATTTGTTTGAAGATACTTCTTGATCCAACAGGCCTAAGTTTTTTTTTCACTTGTGAACACATTAGGATACATATGTAGTAGCTATTATAGTGAGAACGAAGAAAATATAGATTTAGTTAATTATATCAGATTGTCGTACACTATAAGCAATAAATCTACCTAGGAAATTATTAGTGCATTTATTCCTGTACAACAGCTACCAAATTTGACGTGACTACTAATAAACATCTTTTTTAATATCCTTACAATCTCGATAAGGAGTGCCATTTACAAACTTCAAGATCTTTTTCAAAATCTTTTCATCCCTAAAATTCGAGCGCGAGGGTAACATTTTGACTTCTCCATCGTGCTTCATTCTTGCACGATGAACACTTTTCTACTGGATGTCTTAAAAGTCACTTTCACTTAAATTTGTCGTATATCTTTGCTATTTGATTTAACTTTATCAACTAATTTTTTTTGTAATGTAACTAGGTAAGGTGCCGGCAAAAGCAAAATTCAAGTAAAATGTTTTTTGCCTTTTTTTACATCATTGGATAAAACTTGAGCTGCTGATCACGAAAATCAACTTTTTAGCCTTAGTGAATGTTTTCTTCCGGTCGAAAAATATGAAATACTCGAAGGATGTGGTTTTCTTCAAAAAAACACATCTTTTCCAAAATGTGCGAAATTTTCTGTTTCGTTCTTTTTTTCAGATTCAGCATCAAAACTGAGTACAGACAAGTTGTCAAATCGACTCTAGATCCAAAACTCTATTGGTGGTGGCGCTTCGAATCGTATCGACTATGATGCGTATAGGTGGATTTTGTAAACCTATCTAGTTCTTCTACGTAACCGATGGAGTCAATTGTTTTATCTCATTTCATTCATCATACCATTTGTCATCAAAGTACATATCTTTTTTTTCTTTTCTTTTCTTCGTGGAGAAAAATCGTTTTTACTGGTATTATAGCCATTTTTAGGTAGTATTCAGTGGTTTTCGAATTCAAATAACACTTTACTCACAAACTAAATACAGATTCTGAATCAGCACAAAAAACGGAGTCAAATGAAGTGTTTTTCAAGTTAATCTGACAACTTTCATTTTTTCTCATTTTCTCGGGTATCGTCGGAGGACAGAAATTCTTGTATGCGGGTCAAAAAATGAAAGTTGTAAATTAACTTGAAAGACACTTCATTTGACTAAGTTTTTTTTGTGTTAATTCAGAATCTGTATTTAGTTTATGACTAAAAGTGTTATTTAAATTCGAAAACCACTGAATACCACCTAAAATGGCTATGATACCAGTAAAAACAATTTTTCTCGACGAAGAAAAGAAAAGGAAAAAAGGATGCGTAATTTGATGACAAGCGATATGATGAATGGAATGAGATAAAACAATTGACTCCATCGGTTACGTAGAAGAACTAGATAGGTTTACAAAATCCACCTATACGCATCATAGTCGATATAATTCGAAGCGCCACCACCAATAGAGTTTTGGATCTAGAGTCGATTTGACAACTTGTCTGTACTCAGTTTTGATGCTGAATCTGAAAAAAAGAACGAAACAGAAAATTTCGCACATTTTGGAAAAGATGTGTTTTTTTGAAGAAAACCACATCCTTCGAGTATTTCATATTTTTCGACCGGAAGAAAACATTCACTAAGGCTAAAAAGTTGATTTTCGTGATCAGCAGCTCAAGTTTTATCCTATGATGTAAAAAAGGCAAAAACAAGTATTACTTGAAGTTTGAACTGCCCGCACCTTACATACATAAAGTTTTTTTTATACGAACAAATTTCAGAATTACTGTTCAAAGCTAAGACCTTTATCATGCAATTAAACCAGACATCACTCATGAGTTATTCTAGAAATAGAAAACACGCTAAATCTTTGTATTTCGGTTGAGGGTCTTAGCTTGGAACAGTACTTCTAAAGTTTGTTCGCATAAATAAAAACTTGGCGTATGTACCTATCATTTAAAAAACGAATTAGTTGATAAAGTCAAATTAAATAGCAAAGATATAGAAAAGGTCTAAGTGGAAGGGACTTTTGAGACACCCAATATAAATAACTTGATGTTCTCTATCTGAAAACGGAAGAAACAAGTCTTCATTTGAAATCGCAAATATTGCATTGAAATTTCAAAATTTAGATAGAAAGCCTGAAAACAATTTAAAATATTTTCTCTCAAGAACTACAAATTTCAGGAATTGAAAAAATTTCCAAAAATATATCATTTCTTCTCAAAAAACAATAATAAACAGAAGAAATGACCATTGTACGCATAAAAGAAAACCAAGAAAGAGATTCTTAAAACGATGAAAACTCTACGAAATGAAGTTCTGAGTCTGTTTGAAAGTTTTTCAGTCAACATGATAGAGAAAACAATTTGCATTGTCGATATTATCGACTTTTCTGCAACGTTTCTTTGAGACATTTTAGAATAGACGAATTGAGTCTCATCAGATACTTCTGTTAGTTTTTTTGATGATGTTTGAGTAGTAGTTGTATCGATCATAACTTGTCAGCAAAATGTTATAATAGCACGGATATGTCTCATTTCGCCAAAAACTGTTTTCTCATAAACTCTAGACTGATTAAAAGGTACTGGTAATGAAGAAGCGGCGAACAGATTTTATCTTTCTACTTGAAAAACCAGATGGACTACCAAATTGCATCTTTGAGCATTTTCTCTTTGCCGACACTTTAAAAAGCTTCTAAGAAAATGAATTTTCTTAATTCTTGTTTTATTTTTAGAGTGTCTAACAATGGTATCACTTGACCGAGTATCTGATTTAGCCTCAATAACCACCGAAGACGAAATGGAAAATGATGAAGAATTGTTACAACCATTAGATCGAAGCATTGAAGAATTTGCCTATTGGGAACAGCAAATTGATGCTGTAGTATCATTATTACGCAGGAAAGGTATTATGAATGTTCATATTCTACGAAAAGGTATAGAATCAATTGATAAATCAGTGTACAATAAATTAAGCTATTATGAGCGATGGGCCATTTCTATCACTAAATATTGTTTAGAATCTGGTATATTAACTCAAGAAGATTTGAATAAGAAATATGGTCCACCTTTACATTCAACAGATGAACAATTATTTCACGTTGGTGATAAAGTACGCGTTCATCATGAAAATTATGCTACTCGTTGGATAAAACCTCATTTACGTACTCCTGGTTATTTGTATGGCAAAGTTGGTATTATTGAAAGATGTTGTGGATCATATCCTAATCCGGAATATTTCGCGTATGATAATACTGAAAGTACTACTATTCATCGCCAACCTCTTTATCGAGTAAGATTTAATCAGAAATATATTTGGGATCATTATGAAGGTGGTGCTGATGATACTATTGATGTAGAAATTTATCAACATTGGCTAATGCCTGCATTACAACCTTATTCATCAAGAGAAAAAGGCAAAGATGAAGATTATCAGAAATACGATTTTGATCATCAGCATAAAGATCATAATCACGATCATATTCACGAGGCTAGAGCCATTATCGAACAAACAGCGATAGATCGTGAAGGAATACCATTGCCTGCTCAACATTTAGCAGAATCATTGATCAGCGCATTAATTGATAAAAACATTATCAATTATGAAGAATTACGCCAACAGATTGAAACTAATCAAACAGGTGGAGTAGAACTAAGAGGAGCAAATATTGTTGTTGAAGCTTGGTTAAATCCTGAATTTAAAGAACGTTTATTAAAAGATGGTACACGTACAATTGTGGAATTTTTGAAACTTGACACAGTAAGTAATGATTTGGTAGTTGTAGAAAATACTGATAAAATTCACAATTTAATTGTGTGTACTCTTTGTTCTTGTTATCCTCGACAATTACTTGGTATTCCACCAGGATGGTATAAGTCAAGATCGTATCGTGTTCGTGCACCTAGAAATCCTCGTTCTATTTTAAAAGAATTTGGAACTATACTTCCTAATCATATGAAAATTCAAGTTCATGATAGCACCGCTGATTTACGTTACTTAGTTATTCCACGTCGTCCTGCCAATACTCAAGATTGGTCTCGAGAACAATTACTTTCAATAGTTACTCGTGATAGTATGATTGGTGTTTGTGATATTACTCTTTAACTAATAGATTTTCATAATTATTCAATAGTCAAACAATCGATAAAACCGAACTTGAACTCACAGCAATTTTTTCTATTTAGATTTATCAAAATTTTCAAAGTGATTATATTAAAACTGAAATATGTTCTTTCGCATCCAAAAGTTTATTCCTGCAAAAATAAAATATATTCACTAGACTAAATAATATCAACAACAAGCAATATTTATCCTCGATTCACCCGATCCTTGACTAAGAGAATCTAGTTTCGAACAATCGAGAAGGGTGTGAGTTGAGAACAACGCACCCACAGCCACATCCTGTTTCAAAATAAATTTTTGCCTTCTTTTCTGGCATTCTAATCTCAACTAAAGTTCTCATCTCAGGTGTGACTTATATTCGTTTGAAAATCTCATGCACTTGAGGGTGGGTGTGAGTGTGGGTATCGATGTAGGCCGAACCAATGCACATACGCACACCCCACCCACCCTCATCTGATGGCTCATTAAGAACTTATTAAATTGAGATTATAGGTGAATGTAAGAGCGATTTCTACAGCTTGAAGCTTAGGCGAGTATTTATGAAGAGTACAATAATAACTAAAGCAATAAATATTGGAGCTATTCAATTGAAGTAGGTTTCTGACCATCTGTTATGCGTTACAAATAAATAATGGACTTTTGTATTATTATTATCAAGATGACCGTAAAATCTTTAGAACCAATATGTTGAACCTGATAAAATCGAATAACTTTGAGTTCTTGAATAGTTGATATTGATTGTGATTAAACAAAAATTCTTATAGTTTCTACAAGTCGCTATAAATCACAAAAACATGAAGTAAATCCATATCTCAGTAAGAAAATGTCACAAGAAGCAATTACTAGCGTTGAGCAATCCAATTGGAACAATTACATTCAAAAACTGGAGATAAATATTAAGCAAATATATCATGTTTATGCTTCCATAAAATAAAAACAAATAACATTTATCACAAGGAATTCAAAGACAGTCATTCATTGCTTATAAAACAATTCAATATTCGACCTATAAATAAACATTGAAGAGACATAAAAACTTATTATATTCATTTCAACATTTTTCAATATCTTCTTAGTTTGAATCTATCACAGTTATAGAATTAAAATGCATCCTTTCAAATTCATTCTGTTATGTTTGCTCTATGTATTCGTAGTCGATTATGTTAATATATGAAAATATTCCTTGTTAGAAGTAGACTAAAACGGTTTCTCATATTTTTCTCGAGCAGAGTATATTCGAATACATTCATATTCTACATGTAATTACATGTATGTTTTTATCAATTGGACAATCGTAAGAAATATTAGACAAACATGAAAATCAATTATTTGCCAACTAGATTTGTATCGAAAATGATATGGAGTATCGCATTACTTGTAAATAAGAAAAAAAGATCATGCAATTACACGATTAAATTTGGTAGTAACATACTGTCTCAGAAGCAATCGTCTACTATTTAAACATATAGTGTGAAGAAATATCAAAAATCAAAATAAAGACACAAAAGCGAAAATTATATGTAATACAAAAATATAAACTATAATTTTATTAATCCAACTAATCACAAAATCTATAAACATGGTCGATTTCGATGTGTATTTCATTCAATATCATTTATTCAATATATTCTATCGATTTTCTCATCGATTGTATAGCCATACAATTGATTGAATTCTAATGACGACAATCTTCATCATCATTACTCGATGCTGCTAGCCACCAATTACTATAAATAGACATCGTTTGTTCTATTGCACATAGAATTAACATTAATAGAAAATCAAAAATAATATCAACATCAGCTCGAAGATATGATACATAATTACTTCATTTCACCATCCGTTCTTGTTTTGTTTCATGATATTTTGCTAATGAATTAATATCTTCTTCATCTATATTTTCTTTTTCTGAATTTATTAAACCAAATCATTGATCGTTGATTTCTATAAAGAGACTCATTGCTATTCTTGTTCTTGTTGATTTAATATTTTCAACAAGCTTGCATTGATATTATTTGATCCCACATAATGCATATTCAATTAAACAAAAAAAGCACACATTTTCATTTATTAACTAACATACAAATCTTATCATGAAGATAATTCTTTTATTGATCTAAAATGAATTCATTAATATATGGAAGCTTTAGCATCAATAGCAGAAAGTAGATCATTTAATGGATGAATATCAACATCATAATAAAGTACTCTTGCCATGTTGGCACGTGCTTTCTTTTACCTTGCCAGTCATAAATAATAAATTATTGAGATATTTTCTATTTCGAATACACCAGTGTATTCTTGCTCTAAATAGCATAACACTTTGATCACCATCTATTGTAGTCGTACCATGAGACGATTGAACAAAATCCTATTCATTAAACTCAATTGCATATCATTCTGTATATTCAATCAAAAGCGAAAGCTAAAAAACGCCTGTATTCGCAAGACATTTTCAGAAAATGGCATTTACTTGCAAAATAATTTTCATGTCATCGCGCCTCATGCATAAACATACGATCTTTTAAGTTTTTAAACAAAATATTTGAGATCGTGCACGATTCTTATCTTTGTAAATAGTTGAATGCAACACTTTTATGTGTTTATATGAGATAGTGTGTATTTATTCATTTCGCATTAACATGAAATCTTTCTCATATGTCAACACTATATTGACTGAAAAACCTTGTTCAACTTTTCTTATTCGTCCATAATTATTAGTATTCCCATTAATATGTGCCTAGTAGTTATCACATCATCATTATATCTGTCAACATTGATTGCACCTTTAATCTCATGTGACTTGAACTAAGTAGATAAAAACTGTTCATATACCTGTAAACAATCGGCTAGGGTTATGGATGTGAGTGTCGGTATGAGACAATACAAATACCAACAACTACACCCACACCAACAATTTGTTTTTTGTGAAACATCCATCAATCGAATCAAACAAAACCTTCTTTTACCAAAATAGAAAGATATCATCCTTCGTTTTCTATTCAAATCAAAATCGGGTCGATTCTTAGTTTGCAATGCTAAGAAATGCTTGGCATTTATGCAATAAATAATTTAATCAATCGAATGAAATTCTCGTCATGTACATTGTAGAGTTCGAATATCTTCACTTTCGTCAGATTGACCATGATTGGTTTTCAATCTGTTGAAATCTTTGTCAACAGGAACAACATTTTCTTTGTATGTGATCGATCCAAATAATTAAAAGTGAGTTTGGTTCAGAAAAAAAAAACAAAATTCGAACATAAAAAGTCTCTCAGAGATAGTTTCAACATCTTTGCAAGTTGTTTTTATCAGAAACATGGACGGATGTGTTGATTGACATTAGAAACTTCAGAGAACGACTTAATCAACGATTATAGTCATGAACATCAGTGTTATGCGCATTATATTCCTTTTCCATTCCCAGCAAACTTTCTCGTACTCCATGTGAGACGAGAACCATATTACCAAGTCATCAACGAATGATAGCACAAGTACACTGCATGTTCACAGTACTTTTTCGTGGGCCATTGTAATACTTTCACTCGATGCATTTCATTGTTCTGACATGGCAGAAGATTTTAAAAAAATTGCGCTTTGTCAACTAGTTCCATACGACTGTTCATTGCGTATAGAGAACTTCAACTGTTCGACGCGTTGAAATTCAAATCATCTTTGACATTTGCCCGTTTTACAGAGAAGTTTGAGAAATCACCGATTTTTTAATGATGAAAATAAAATCTTTTAACTCGATCACAAGCTAAAATAGTTGGATAATGTTAGAATATTCAAAACAGAATTCTCTAGTAGAACTTGACAAACAATGATTTTTTGTATGCGATTCATCATCATATACTAGTCGATACAAGGCAATTCGATTAAAAATGACTTTATTGTTCGATCATTTGTTCAAGACTATGATAAGAATGTTAAAGCAAAGTCAATTTTCAAAAACCATCAAATTTGATTAATGTTAAACTTTTGTACTCGACAGTTTCCATTATCACTCACATAGAGATTATCCTCGCGATCAAATAACAAATCGGTTGGAGAAGAGAGTCGATTCCATTGACTTCCTTGAATATTTCCACCAACGACAACACTTCCCTGTGTGGCTCCTTGAAACCAATGCATTATTCTATTATTACAACAGTCAGTCACAGAGACAGTACCTGATTGATTCACAAAAATTTCATAAGGAAATGATAATTGTGTAAGACTATTTCCTTGACCTTGATCGCCAGCCACAACAATACTAAGACTATTTGTTTTTATCAATAATCACATCTGTCGGATAGATCAACTGATCATGAAGGTTTCCTTGTTCATTTCTACTGGCCACAACTCGACTAGTCATTGCACCACATTTCTATTCCACAATACGATGATTCCAGTTATCAGCAATGTAGATAGTTTGATCATCATCAACACACAAACCCTAGGGACAGTTGAGTTGATTCATTTCACTACCTTGCCCATTTTTTTCAGCGACAGTGACACCATTCTGTATCCATTTTGAATTGGTATTTAGATGCTCACTGCATAGTAATGGGGCTGAAACAAAACAGTCCATCGTTCATTTACATTGAATTAAAGTATGAGGATGAAAATTGCTATTTGAAGTAAAGAACTTTGATCACGAAAGAGACAGAAGCAACAGTTTTACTAAGTTTTCATATGATACAATGTCTTAAAGTTAATCTCGTTGTTTTAAAATTGTGAATGATAATTAACATTCGAATCTTCTCTTCATCTCACCATCATCGAAAGACCCCTGATCTTTTAAAGAAGTTTTAGTAACAAAATTTCAAGATTGTTCATCAACATCAATGTAAAAAATACCAGACAGTATCTATTTTTTTCGAATAGATAATTTTTGAAAATTGTTCTAGATGATGTTGTTATTGAATAGATTCAATAGAGATTTTCTCTTCAACTATTTTTTGAAATAAAGATAGTCAACTAAGTATCATCAATACTTT